AAATTAGTTATAGAACAAAACAGGCATATAATTGATTATTAAATAGTTAAATATATGTTTTAGCTACAGTAGCTATAGTTAAAATTTTAATAAAATTTGAGTAAGTTGCAATATATTTTGTGAGTCTTATTATTTTTTGCCACTACTATATATAATAAGATTAGTTACAAATTTGCATTAAGATAATATTAAATTTTAACTATCTATTATATCTTGTATAATTACCCAAGTGTAGCAAATCACTTCTTAATTTTCTATTTATAAACTAATTTAAGACTAGCTACTATTAGTTATAGGAGGAGAAAGAGAAAGCCTAACAAAATATATTTTATTTTTACTATAAATTTTTATTATTTATTATTTTTAAGCTGTTTTTTTTAACAAATTTTCCTAAAGAAGTGTGGCGACTTAGTGAAGTGGTTGGGTTGTTACACCCAAGCGGCATATCTAGAGTTCAATTCTCACTGACAGCAAAAAATTGAATTCTTTCATATAATGGCAACTTTCTCGTATATTGAAAAGAAGATCCTGTAATATTGGTCATACCTTATATAGGAAGAATATCTATTGCACTATCAGGTCGATCTAAGGGAGATCTCGAGATATTTGTGTAATGTACAAGTTGCATAAAGAGAATACAAAACTGGTAAGGTGGCGTAAACTCATAATAAGTCCTCGGATCGTGTTAATCTAATGAATGGCACTATGAGAAGCCTACTTGGCAAGACCTGAGTAGAGAGATAGCACAAGCTTTCGACAGTGCTTACCAAAATAGGCTCCACCTGAGGCTGAAAAACTGGATGAGGCAAGAGTACTGGCAAGTTACTCCACCAACCAGACTACTAGGTCAACTGGGGAAAAAACTAGTGTCCTTTCTAGGCTATCTGGATTGGTAGTCTGGGGAGACCAGCTAGAGGATACTAAAAGAGAAGATACTGAGTTGTCTTGAAGGAAGGGTACCGAGGTTTGGGTGAACTTTGCAAAGGCCAGGTAGTTAGGTGGTGTGGCCTGCTCATAAAGGTTTAGAACCTATCCAGCTACCTATCTGCGGTAGAGATTGATGGTGTGGTCTGCCTGTAAAGATATAGAACCTATCCAGTAATATCTATTTGAAAAAGACTAGGTTATATGTTAAAAGTAGATGACAGATGGCTCTAGCAGGTGATGCACTTAAGGATGAATCAGCAATATTAGTAGTTCTAGAGGTGAACTTGTGACGATCTCAGAACTTGTACTAACTAATGTATCGCATATTCTGGATGAGGTTAAATAGATTAGCATAGGAAACTCAGATCAGAGGGTTTAATTGGATAGCTCAAGTAATAGTGGGTTACAGGTATGACATCTAGTGTAGAACCTAGTAATAGGTAGATACTTAATTAGGTACTCAAAAGGTGCAGATATGGCTAGAATGTATTCTTATCAGAATGTACTTGTCTGGGCCCCCTTGAAAAGAGCACCACATAATTCTAGTATCTAATAAAAGCAGTGAGCCAAAGAGGCTAACCTTGACTACAAAAAAAAAAAACAAATTTGTCTAAAATATATATAACCCTTATTAATATTAACTATATTAATATCAATCTAAGTTACAAGAAAATTTTTATAATTTCTATATATCAAATTTTTTTTAGATGTTTTATAAAATAGGTAGACAATATAAGAAATAAGCTTTGCTAATAATTAATAATCATTAATGTTTTAATAATAAAGTTGTAAAGTTTGCAGAGTTTGCCCATATTCTATAAAACATTTCTTCTTTTATATATATCAGCTTTATTATGATTTTATACTAATATCATGATTAATATAAATATAAAATAGTTTAAATAAATTGTCACAGCTAATGCTGAATTTGGCTGATGTTGAATATTATGTGAAAATTCAGGCCAGAAATTGCAGATTACATATCAATTAGGAAAAATCAAAACAAACCCTAACCAATGACAAAGTTCTTTAAGGTCATTTGTATTAGGATTATCATCTATATTAATATTAAAGCTTAGAAGGTTATATAGTAAATTACTTAAGGAAAACTTTTTATTAATATACAAAATGTTGTTTTTTATGAAGATTTTTGAGAAATCAGCAATTTTAACAAAAAAACATTTGTTTTGAATTTTCATGATTGAAAATACAATCTGCAATTTCTGGCCTGAATTTTTATATAATATTTAGCATCAGCCAAATTCAGCATCAACCAAATTTAGCATTAGCCTTGACATTTATTATATTCAAAATTATTAATATATCCTTTAAAAATAGCATTTTCAAATCATTTTTTTGGTATTTTTTTTTTGCTATGATTTTCATACACAGAAAAAATATTATAGAAGTTGATTAATAAATTCAGGCCAGGAACTCATGGAAAAATATATACTAAATTAACATAAAATACAAGTGTATTTCTTGGGAAGTTATGAAATTATATGGTTTAGAAAAATTTATAATCACTTTAAATCACAGAAAGAATAAAATAATATTACAAAACTGCACAGAAAAAGGCTTATTCCATTAAATCATAGAATTTATCTTAACTATATACAAAATTTAGTCTTAACCACCACAAAAAATCACTGTCTCTGTTCAGAGTAGTGATTTGAATCAGTTGAGCTATATTTGGTTAATCAACCTAAACTAAATAAATTTTGATTAACTAGTTGAGAAAATTTTTAATCGGTTGTCCCAATACAACTGGTTGAGAATTGGGTAATTGGTTGGTGGAATTGATATAATATAAAAATAATGTAAGAAGAGAGTAAAGAGTCCAAAAAGTTCTGAAAAAAAAAAGAATAAACATAAAGACAAAAGAGTAAAGCTCTAAGAATTTCCAATGGTATGATGCAAAACACTTAAAGACTACATTTGTCCTATTTTCAAAAATTTTATATTGAAATTTGATGTCTTTTTGATTTCTTGTATTCTGATTGATCAAAAATTAATTAATAAAAAATATTTTAAAAATAATTTTAAAAATAATTTTAAAATTAGTCAATAACAAGAAACCAAAACATGTGACTTGTCCCATTTTTGGTTAAATTTTACGTATCATATAAAAATACTATATTTTTAAAGCTATATATTTTAAAAATTTATTATAACTTTTTAAAAAATAAGGCCACTAAGTTGTAATAAATTGATTTAGCTACAAAATAGCGGCTTCCTTTTTAAAATATCTTTTTTAGATCAAAAGTTATTGGCTTTTAAAGTTTGTGTAGTCTTTAAGTGTCGCGTACTATAGTATCTTAACCGATTAGCAATTGGTTGAATGAAATAATTCGGTTCGGTTAACCGATTAAGGAAATTTTTCTCGGTTCAAATCACTAGTTCAGAGTACACACATGTGTGTTATGTTATTTAAATCTTTATTTACATGATGTAAACGAAGGTAAACAAAAATCGTCAAACTTTGAAGAGTAATTGCGAACGTTATACTGAACCGGTTTCAATGATACCATCATCATAAGAATCGAAATAACCTGAACAACCTTGTACGATTTTTATTTTGTTTATTAAATTTTAAGAATTTAATATAAGGCCACATATAAAATTAATGTCGCAGATCATAATGAAACGGATTAAAATGAAATGAGGGGTTTCTATTTGACCCTCTAAAACCCATTTATACTTGTTTATTATAAAACCTGCTTCTAAACCCTAATCCTAACCCTAAAAAAATGCTAAAAAAATGCACCCCAAAAATTTGTATTTTTCGGTGGCTTGTCTATTTTACACTATCCCTCATTTCATTTTAATCTGATTTCATTTTAATCTGCCACAATTAATACTTTGGTTTTGAAAACCGGCTGGTCAAATTTTGAAAACTTTGAAGTAAATTTTTTATATACTTTAAGGTGGATATTTTAATATATATATATATAATTTCTAGAAAAAAAACTGATACGGGTGGATATTGTCACGGGATAGAAGTGACATTTTCGAAATTAAGATATAAAATTATGTCATGTAAATTATGTAATGAATCGTATGATAACCTTATCGTATTATACCACAAACACGAACTAAACGACTTATTGCGCGTAGCAGTGTACATATTGAGAAAAAAAGCTGAGTGTCGGGCTCAGATTAACATATGATTTTCTCTAATAAATTATTAAAATCATCGTTAAAACCTCCCTTAAAACGAATATCGTAAGATTTTAAGAGCCTTGGTTGAGGGACAATAAAAGCTCTTTTGCCTCTATATTAGGATGAGGGGCACATGGTTCTTGCCTCCAGAAGCATACCTTTAAGCTGAGGTATTATATTTATAGGAGCATACCTTTAGTCCAAGGCACGTCCCCTCACCCTACTTTAGATTGAAAGTTATAAAATGCTGCATACGTCCCCTCACCCTACTTTATATTGAAAGTTATAAAATGCTGCATTTTCGTCGAAGAATTATCAGATTCATATAATAAAATTTCAAGTTCTCTAAATCTAAAGAAACTTATTTGCCAAATCATTCACGCCACGCCTCTGACGAACGTCTTAAAATTTTATTATTATTGCAATTGTGTTCGTTCCTTTTATCGTATTACAATTCGTCCCATAACAAAATTAAACCAAGAAATTAGTCTAATTTGAACTTTGCAAATATAAATTTTTTCATGAAAGGGTTAACATATACGCATTTGGTTTTAATGTTTTAAATATGAATTCAAATACAGTTAACTTTCTCTATACCGAACCTTCGGGGACTTAGTGAAAAAAAAAGAGTTTAAAAGTGTATTTAGTGTTTAAAATGAACTTCATAATAAAGTTTAAACCTTTAAAATTCGATTTAAACAGGATTTATTAAGTATTTCTGTTTATCCAAGTTCGGTTTAGAGAAATTTGACTGTGTAAATATGTTATATTGCATCACATTTAATCTTACAAAAATAATAATAATAATAATAATTCAAACAGATAAATTTTTTATCAGATCTATCCCGGAAGCTCAACATTATATTATTCAGAAACGTCGATAACTGAATTGTAGATAATTATTTTCCGGATCAAGATTTGACATGTTTAAGAATCCATTGAATGAAACCCTTAATAACTTCTGTATTACCGTAATCATTATGCACTAATGTATTAAAGTGAAGAAACAATAAGTCGAGATGGAAGAAATTCACTTCAAATAAAATAATAATAACAACGCATGCATACTTTCGTGATAACGACTATCCCATTCATGAAATGTTTTATCTCTAGATTTTGTCTTTTCAATTAATAGTTTAGAAGCATTTGGATCAGTAATCATATCCTCAGCGCCGTGTGCAATATAAATTGGAATGTTTATATCTATATATTCTTTTTCCATGAGGAATTTTCCAATTGAAATCATATCTCCAACTATATATGAGCATACATAGTTATTAGAATATTCAATCTTAAAATCCTAAAAACAACGTAGATAATCACAGACTTACAGGTACGTAAAGAACCCATGCTATGGATTAAAGGATCTTCAATGTATTTTTTAACTTCGACTGGATCACGGGAAATGTAATTTGTGTTTATATCAGCATTCCAAGTTACATTTGGCATTAGCTTACTAGCGATAGGAAGAGCAAAAAGTGAAATATTATCCGTTATAGATTTAGCTTTAGGTGTAGTTTGAAGCAACGGAGATGAACAGATAAGACCCGCTATATTGTGCTTTTCAGGTCCATCAAGAATGAATTTTAGTACAAGACCACCTCCCTATTAGTCAAAAATCGAAATATCATAATTCATTCGTTAATGATATTAACAAAACAAACTAGTGTTTAAGCAAAAAATTAAATGCACGTGCGGCTTGAACTACAAATAACAAATTACCATGCTATGACCCATCAAAAATTGAGGGATTCCCTCTTTTCGTCGTGATGATAAAGCTTCAGCGATATCAGCTAGAACAATATTCCGACCACCAGTCTTGCCAGGATTTTTATTTCTTATTGCTGTTTCACCGAAACCACGTTGATCATAAGCATAAACTTCGATATTTTCTTTTCCGAATTTATCGAATACATGGTTGTAACGTTTAATATGTTCACCAAAACCATGAACGAATACTACTGTAGCGATAGGTTTATCGGATACTGCCTGAAATTAGCACGAATTTTTTTTAAAAAATTAAACGTTGGTGGGAATGAAAAAAAAAACTATCTTAATCTTACCTTCCAAGTTCTAGTATATATTTCAACACCATCTGAGGATTTAATCCATTCATCAACAACTGGAATGGAGGTATCTACGGTAGTGTCTGTAAAGGATGAGCTCATGTTTCCTCTTACAGTATAAACGATAACGATAAACTGAAAGATTTACAGAAAAAGGAAGAAAGTATTAAATATAGATTAATTAAATATAGAAATTTCTACTTAAAATCATGCGTGAGATGTACAGTACATATTTGTATACCTTGTTAATTCCTCAAATTGAGTTATACTACGTATTAATAATTAGTGCTCTCCATTTGTAAAAGAATTGGTGGATCCTGAGTGTTTTTATATTATAATCTGGGTAACAGAGGAACCCGTTGATTACCACAAAAGCACGTACGTACGTATAGGAATTCACTCCGTTATTATTGCCATCTTTTTTTTTGTCGTAAATATTTTGGTCATTAGCGTTAGATAAACTAAATGCGGACAAATGTTACTTCCAATCCACAATGAACTGATTCGGACAGGATCTGGACCATACAGTTTTGAACAGGTCCGGAACTATTGCTGAAATAAATTCTATCGCTGTGAAGATGAATGAATATCGTTGATATAACTATATAAAACAATATCGATATATTTAACCACTAGCTTTAAACCGGATACCGTTACCAAGCCACGAGCCGATCATCTTGGCTGTGTGACATACCGTATTTCTGCGACATGTACCTGCGGCGATTTTAGATGCCAAATCTTGATTTATATTCGGGTATATAAGTATGAGGATAACATACTTATATACCCGGGCATGTAATAGTAAAACATATTAAAATACATAGATGTATTCATACGGTATATTCCCCCACACGAGTACCCGGGTACATAACTGATAATATGAGCTAGGGGAATACCCTTGGTACGCATGTCGCAGAAATACGGTTGCGGTAGCGGTAGTACTGATTTAGAGTCATAAACTTTTGCAGTAAGTGATGTGGCACATTGTGGCACATTCGGATAAGCTTCCCGGTTAGGGGTTAGGGTGTTTGGCATATCTAGTAATTAACCCACAAAATTTTTTCCGGCACGTGATTACCGTTACAATTTTACGCCACATCATGCATTTTCCATTTTACTATTTAACGCGATCAGCTAAATGTTTTTTCGTTTTTTTCAGTGCTTTTTATGATGTTCTTTCGGTGGTCTTTACAACATTCTTTTGGTGTCCTTTACATCATTCTTTTGGTGCTTCTTATGTCATTCTTTTGGTATGTTTTTTTTTTTTTTTGTGTACTTTTTATGTGTTTTTTTAATGATTTTTACATGCTTTTTACATTGTTTTTTTGATGTTTTTTTGGTGTCTTTTTAGTTGTTTCTTTGGTGTTTTCTTAACATTCTTTCAGTGGTTTTTCACTGTTTTTTTCGGTGTCTTTTTCATCATTCCTTTGGTGCCTTTTTGTTGTTCTTTCGGTGCCTTCTTTTAATATTTTTTTGGTGCTTCTTTTGTTGTTCTTTCAGTGTTTTTTTCGGTCTTCTGATATTTTTTTGGTACTTTTTTCATGTTTTTTTGGTGTTTTTTTGACGTTCCTTTGGTGATTTTTTAATGTTATTTCAGTGTTTCTTTTGATGTTATTTGTGTGTTTTTTTTTGCTCTTTCAGTGCTTTTTTTAGACGTTCTTTAGGTGTTTTTTTGTCATTCTTTTGGTACTTTTTTATATTTTTTTTAGTGTTTCTTTCAATGTTTTTCAATGTTTTTTTGGTGTTTTTTTCATGTATTTTTGGTGTCTTTTTTTGACATTCTTTCATTATTCTTTTGTTATTTTTTTGTCATCCTTTTGTAAATTAGATAATTTTGTATATAATTATAATTATAATAATAAAATTATTAAAAAAAGTTAAATAAACATAAAATGTATAGTATTTTTTTGACAAGATAAATGTTGATGTGAACATTAATATGAACATTAAGGTCAACATTGAGGTGAATATTGATATGAACATTAAGGTAAACATTTATGTCAATGTTGAGGTCAATGTTAAGATCAATATTAAGATAAACATTGAGATGAACATTGACATTAATGTTAAGGTAAACATTTATGTCAATGTTGAGATCAACATTGAGGTGAATGTTAAAGTTAATGTTAAGGTAAACATTATGAATGTTGATATAAACATTCATCTTAACGTTTATATCAATGTTGAGGTAGATGTTAAGATTAATATTGAAGTGAATATTGACATAAACATTGACGTGAATGTTAAGGTTAATGTTGAAATAAATGTTGACATGAATGTTAAGGTGAACATTCATGTCAACATTCACCTCAATGTTCACCTTAACATTGATATGAACATTAAGATAAATGTTTATATCAATATTCACCTCAACATTTACCTCAATGTTGACCTTAACATTCATCTTAATGTTGACCTCAATATTAATATCAACATTGATGTAAACATTCACCTTAATATTAATGTTAATGTTCACTTCAATGTTCATTTTATTGTTGACCTCAGCATTGATCTCAACATTGACATGAACATTCACGTTAATGTTCATATCAATGTTCACTTCAATGTTGACCTTAACATTGACTTCAATGTTAATATGAACATTCACCTTAATGTTCACCTTAACATTGATCTCAACATTGATATGAATATTCACCTTAATATTCATATCAATGTTCACCTCAATGTTGACTTTAATGTTTACATTAACATTTACATCAATATTGACCTTAATATTTAGCTTAATGTTTATGTCAATATTCACCTCAATGTTGACTTTAATGTTCATCTTTATGTTCATGTTAACGTTTATCTTAACATTAATCTTAATGTTTATATTAATATTGAGGTCAATGTTGAGGTAAATGTTATAGTAAACATTGCTGTCAATATTAGCCTCAATATTAATTATATCTTGCAGAAATTAGTGAAGTGGCTTAGTCATATGCCAGAAAATTTTTTGTAGATAATCTATAGAGGTTGTAAGTGGCACAGAGGTCATTGGCATACTAGAGTAGTATGCCTATAGTGACATGTTATAGGCATGCCAAATACTCAGATTGTCTATAAGCATACTATTTATATATATTCTGAAAGGTTTCGAATAGAAAATAAAATAATCTAAATTCTAAAAGGAAAATTGGAGCAATACTTTAAAGTATTCTGAAAGGTTATTTTATAGTAAACAATAACTGGCTAATTCTAATTGAGTATATTATTGCATAGTTTAATAATATACTAGGGTGGCATCCTGGCATGAACTTTAGCAGTTGATATATTATATATTACGCAAGATTTTTTAGCCATGACATTTACCCTAGCCTTGAAAGATTATCTCCATATGTAAAATTATGTTTCTGACATTTTTTTGTTAGTGTTAAAGGCCAATTTAAACACTAGTTTTTGAGTTTTTTCTTTTTTTCTTCTTGTGCATATCTTACTGAAAAAGATTTCAATCTAAAAAAATAAAATAATAAACTTATTACTATTATGTCTCAGACCGATTTTTGATATGAGATACATAACCTGTCAATCGATTACTTAAGATACTTCTGTTGTTATTTGACACTTTTTGGTTATAATCTGAGACAATTAATATTTTGATTAAACAATATATAGCAAATTTAATCAAATCATTAATTAATTCAATATAAGCTCTAATTAATTTAATACATATTTAAACATGAATACCAACTGCAACATCTATTTGTACACTTTCTACTATATTTTTTATATTTACATTTATTATTATTACAAAGACCTTTACAATTGCATATAACACTTAATACAAATCTAATATTTTGAAGCTTTGCTATTTCTCAAATAGACAATTTATCTAATAGGATCTTGTCAAGTTCAGAATAAATAGTAGTACCAAGTACTTCAAGTTCACCTGATAAATAACAAATGTTAAATATATCAAATTTATATTCTAAATGATATTGCTCATTAACTTTTTCTATTATCTTGCAGGAGAGTATAGGGTGATTGGTGTCAATTGATTAATTTTTAAAACATTAACACAAACCAAAAATTACCAACTTAAAAATCAACTAATTTTCTTTTTTTAAGTGCCTATTTGGTCATATTTTCTGTATAAAGTTATAGGTTTATTGTGCTGTATTTTGTAACATTTCATATTATATAATATTAGAATGCTGGTTTGTAATATTAGCAAGAACTAAGTTTTGTTTTATTACTGATATTTTAGCCAAAATTCAACGAATTTAGATAAATAATAAATAAACAAAATAAAAAAAAAATTACAATAAAAAAATTAATAGTATTATTACTATCACTATTATTCTAATACAATTGTTCAAAGCTTTTGTCAAAATTAAAAATTAAAATTAATGAAGTATAAGAAATAAAATAAAATAAAATAAAAATCTACAATTAAGATAAAGACTTATTTATATTACTATTTTCACCATTCTAGTATAATTGTTTAAGACTTTTATCTAAATTGAAAATTAAAATCAATAAAATACAAATAAAAAAAAGATCTACAATTAAAATAAAAACTTATCTATATTACTACTACCGCTATTTCAATACAATTGTTTAGAGCTTTTGCCTATATTGAAAATTAAAATTAATAAAATATAATATATAAAAAAAAACTACAATTAAGATAAAGACTTATTTGCATTATTATTATTACAATTCTAATTTAATTGTTCAGAGCTTTTGGCTGAATAAAAATAAAATCAATGAAATCAATAGCTCTGAAAACATTACACATCTGCTAATTTGTATTCAAAATAATTTTTGTCTAACAACTCTAATCACACAAGTAGTACAAGAAACCTAACAGAAATTAGAGATACCTTATTTTGACTTGGATACCTTCATTCGAGATTTCATTAATTTCTATATCAACAACAAAATGCACCTCGGGCTAATTATCAAAGAAACCTTAGCACCCTTCGAAAAGAATAAGGATAAACATAAATATATACCTCTTATTCATCATAATATTGTCATTGCAATATATAAAAAAGTATGGCTCATATCTAAAGCAACAAAACACAACTCTATCTTCCTACCATCTTCTCCACTACAACCTCCTATATTACATAAAACTGAACTACTTATACCTA